TCTCTCTGCTTATATAAAGTGCTGTTGCTGAAAAGGAAGGAAATTATAAAAGTATACCCTTAGTGGATGAGAGAAAAAAAAAGATGCATAAAAAATGAAAGACAAATACCTATCAAATGATGTTATTCTATAGAGGCCCAATTACTTTGCATTATTATTAATATACTATTGTTTCAATTTGAAGGCTAATTCATCCCTCATAAATTTTTTATTGAAGCACATGAGTACTGCATATGCGAATGCTGTATGAGAATAAGGTATTTCTATAACAAGACAAGTTTCTACATGTAAGTTAGCTGTAACTAGGGCTGGACAATAAAATAATAAAATAATTATCGCGATATAATTATTTCAATAACAATATAACAAATGTTCAATAAATATTCAATAAATGTTTGATTTTATTCACTTGAATCATAAACGAATTAGGACTTCATTTTTTATTAAGATGTTTTTTGTTGAGGAAAAAGGACTGAAAAAAGCTTTTATAATTTTACTCATGCATATTGTTGACAAACATTTTTTCATAATTATTTTGAATGTACCACCTCATGCAATAAAACCTTCACGAGTAAAAAGACAATACTTAATACACCTGTGTGGAGAGTAAACATGTAGAAAGGGTTAATTTAAACTGCTCTGTCCTCAGTCTGTCTCCTGTATGTTTTATACAAACTAATGTTTCCGCTTCTCGGCATTAGCCAAATGTTACAAACAAGCTCAATTGAAAGCTGTGTGTCTGTAGCATAACCTGGCCTGTAGTCATGTTGTAAACTCAGCTGCTGGCTGAGACAAACCGGCCGCTCCTCATTCTACCAGGTAACATTACCTGCAGGCAGTGAGAAGATGCTGACTGATGTCTTGTTCGAACATTACTCAGTATTGTGATGTCAGATATTGACTTATATAGTGACGTTGCTGTTGTAAAAATTAATGTTGCTGCTCTAGAAACAACATTTACTTGTATTTAAAATATTAATTTCTAATCGTATAATTAATTTAAAAACAATCAGGCAGCTAATGCACTAATCAAAATTAGTTTATTTATCGCGAGTCATGTCATCTCTATATAACAATGTTATCGCACATTGAATATTTTCCTCATACTGTGCAGGCCTACCTCATGGCTGTTAGGTGTCGTCTTACGTATCTATAAAGACTTGGATTGTTAAGCAGTCTCAATGGTATCAGTATCAATTATGATCCCCATCTCTGTTTATCATGATAACATTTTTGGCCATATCGTCCAACCCTAGTTGTAACTGCACATACCAGTTATTATGTATATATACTGTTATATTAGTAAGTTAGTTTTCTGTGTTTTCATTTCATAATCATGTCTTACTGACTTGACAGTGTCTTCATGTTTATTGTGTTTACGCAGTAAAGTAAATCTGGTTGTGTCATATGTCTTGTCTCTGCTAAGCACTTTAAGCAGAACCAGATGATGTTATTATACAATGACAGAATAAAAGGATGAGTCCTTAACTGTGCCTTCATACGTTAACATCATTATACTGACTCCACCATCAGAGTGACACTTTCCATCCACCATGCTCTGGTGCTGTGTACCATGTCCATCACATGAACCACATGTAAGAATAACATCTACGTTAGCTATATAATTTCCTCTGACATATAGTCAATATTATCTCCAAGCCGTCTGCGTCTTGAACTCTTTATATGTACACTGGCTGTTTATCCGTGAAAGACAGATCACATCCTCAGACCTGAGTGGAGAAGAAGCAGACCTGGTCAAGCTCAACCTGCAGTAATATTAAGGCTTTCATTGATCACATCAACTCAAAGCTCAAGTGTCCAGAACACTGCTGTATGCTGAATGCCAAAATGCTGTAGACTTTCTAAAGCTTTTTGCGGATTGTTGTTTTTGTAATTTGTTTGTAATTGTGTGCTCTGTAATTTGTTGTGTCATATTGGAGGTGTTTTAGACATGTAACATTTCAACAGATTTATGTAACAAGGTGCAAAGTCTGATAGAAGCTTTAAATCTACATTCTTGCCATTGATTTGACTCATGCAGTTCTATGACGGGTGAAACCTCTGTAATTTAACATAAAGCACTGTTTGTCTGTGACTGTCACACATTTCGGTGATGACTGTGACTGAAAAGTGATCGTAATAATAATAAAATACCTGCATGGTTTAAAATGTAGAACATCGGAAATGCTGTTGTGACAGCGTGATCCCTTGGGGGTGAGGTCGTACCGAGGCTGCTTTTGTGACAGATCAGGGTTACGTTCACCTTTGCCCCAGAGGTCAGGGGTTAAACACATGGGGAGAGGAGGGCAGGGTCCAGCCTGAGCCCTGTGATCAACTTGTGACCTTTTGTTCAGTACTGCATTGTGTCGTATTAGAGCTCTATTCTACTTATTTTACTTATGCACATGATGAGGGGTTTGTTTTAGTGGGAATGTTGCTGAGACCAAATCTCTATACAGACCAACACAATTGTCACATGACAATGACATTACAAGGAAAATTCACTTTTTGGTTCTTAGTTTTGGCTAAAATACCATTTGGATTGCTTAAAATTGTGTACTTGTACATCACTGTCAGTGAGAATGTGGACATGTGTGCTTGGGTGGAAATGCGACACACGAATATGGTAAGTACTAAGGTGTCAAATAACGATTATTTTGATTACTGATTAATCTGCCAATTATTTTTCAAACAATTTTACAAAGTTTACTGTCATATACGACAAATACAAGCAACAAATAACACTGGACAAGCTGGAACCTGGAATGTTTGGCATTTTTGTCTTGAAAAGATAAATCAATTATGAACACAGGTGCTGATTAAATTTTCTGTGAGTCATCTAATCAGTTGATCATCTAATCATTTCAGCTCTAGGAGGTAGGGACATCAACCTGCAGATTGAACAGAGAAGAAACGCTTCAATGCAAAAGAGATAATGGAAAATTAGGATACTAACAATTAATATTTCCCTTTATTACACCTCCAAACATCTGCATTTCATTCCTTTGCTTCATTGGGCTTTGTTGTAAAGTTGTGTGTCCAATACAGCGCTGATGTCACCTATAGCAACTTGTGATGATGTGTAGGTTTTACTGATGCCCTGCAGGTAATGTAGTCTCTTCTGTTCTCTCCTACAGGATGCCTCCATTGCCCATCGCTTTCATCTGATGCGGGAAAAGCACCCTGAGAAGTTCAACAGCAGGTTAGAAGATCGGATATTTTGAAAATATCTGCAAACACACTGGCACTGAGCAGGCAGTGAGGCGTATAGTGAGAAAAGATTATGTTTTACCATTCAAAAAGACTGTCTCCATTAGCTAACTAGCAGCCTCCTAACCAACTAGTGACCTCGCACTTCAATCTGGAAACCCAATACCACACTGAGCCGCAATCATCAACAATCAAAACAGGACAAAACCTGCCTGCATTGTGGAATCAATATATTGGCAGTTCCTTGTTTGAGGTAAAACTGAACTGAGCTGTGACATGAATGTGAAGCCAAAGTCCAAAGTCAAAACTAGGCTGGAGGCAAAAATGTTTGGAATGCTATTAGTTGTCTGTTACATTTTTTCTCGTTTGGTGGTTCCAGTAAAGTTCTCGACTAATTATAAAAAGTCAAATGGGGAGTTTATTGTCTGGAAACAATGTTGTTATATTGCAGGGGCACTGAATGAAAACAGTTATGACGTTAATGGAGGTACGATCATTCTATGAGTAGAGAAGGTATCTTCAAATCATTCAGACCAGTGTATAGCCGTCTAATTAATTGTTATATAACAGTCTGACTAGAGAGGGAGAGAAGTCGGCAGAGAGAGAAACAGTGAGCCAGAGAATTATCTTGGCGATGAAGCACTGCCCTTAGCAGCACAAGTTGCATCTCCTCCAGAACCACAGAAAACATTATACAGATGTTTTCATTAGCTGAGTTTTACTCCTCGTGATATAGTAAACTGATCTTAAAGTGAATCTTAAATCTTACCTTAATGTGAATCTTAAAGTGAAGTGCCACTTTAACTGTGCTGCTCCTGTCATGTGCTGTATCCACACCATATACTGTACGCTCACTGCAGATATTCCAAACATATGAAAATTCACGAATATAGCACAGGTTATATGCTACATTATTCTTATAGTCAGCAAATCCCAGGAAAAGACCAAAACCAACAATGAATTGTATCGTCTGTGTATGAAAGCCTGGTATTGCTTAGTCTTTGTGCTATAGACTTTTATTGTTGAGTCTACAGCCAAGCTAACGGCTCTGTAAAGCTGACATCTCATTTGAGTACAACTCCACAGACATTTTGTACACCTTGCAAATGAAATTGCCCTCTTAACACCCCTTCTGTATGCACACTTAAAGTTTAAGTTATGTCGTGGGGAGGCCGGTCACAAGATCTGTGCATACTCCTACCCAGTGGTGTTGGTAGTCCTATACAAATTTTGTGTTGGCCATGAACTGCCAACATGAGTTAGTAGAGCAAATGCTGCACTTAGGGCGTACTCACACTAGGCCAGGTTGCCTTGTACCATGCCCAAGCACTATTGTCCCCCCTCCCCACTCTCCCACTGGCCTGCACTCACATTGCACCTAAAAACCACTAAACATCAGCCATGTTAGTTTTGTCATTGTTTCTCATATTAGCATACTGACATTAGCATGTAGCTCAAATCACAGTTGTGACTAATGCCTCATGCGGACTACATAACTTTCAGCGTCCGAGGGCCATGCCGTTCACACTACACAACTTGCCGTCTCGTGACGGGAGTCTGAAGTCGTTGGGGCGTTCACACTACGTGACTGATTGGTGACAGGGGGTCACACATTACACCAGCTGACTGTGGCTGTCACCGAGACGGCTGGTCTCCAAACCACGTTTTGTCAAGAAAATACACGTGAAGTGTGAATCGGGAAAAGACACGAACCTACACATGAAATAGCTGTTGTTTGTTATTATAAAGATAGCAATTATAAAGACAAAGAATCTGGGTGAAAGAATCGATTAGCACACGCAGGTAGCAGGGATTGTCTGAGCTACAGAGAGAGCTGGAGGGGAGTTAAAAGTGTTTTGCGGTGAAAAAGTAGCTGCCTGCTCTCATTGGCTGGATGTGGATGTCGAGTCGGCCGACTCTTCCAGATATTTGGCATGCTAGATATCTGGCTGGTGTCGGAGATGTGTGAGAAATGTGTCAGGGAGCCGTTTTGATGCGTCGTTGAGTAGTTCACACATAACGACTGATAAAGTCAGTCAAGCTCTCCGACCGGCAAGTTGGGCTAAAAATTGTGTAGTGTGAACTACGTTTAACTATCTGAGCCGGAGCACATATTCACTGAGCAACTCGCTCTCTCGACTGCTCCCTCTCTGTCTCACGAACGCCGCTGCACACAACATAAAGCTGTCAATGTCAGAGACCCATCTTAAAAAAAGTTATTAGCAAACATGTAAAGAGCTTAGCTAATAAGGATACCTATGTTAACATTAGATCACAGCTGGATTTTTGAGGTTAGCACGCCCCCACACTACTACGTTTTGTTTAAAAACAGTGCTTTATACGAAAACAGGGTCAACAGCATTTTCAAACTTCTCCTTTTTAGGTCGGATGGAAGGTGCAAATGTGGCAAAAGGTCTCCGTTTTAAAACGAAAAAGTAGTAGTGTAGATGTAGCCTCAAGCCTAGTTCACACTACACGTTTTTTAGACCGATTTGCCCAGATGTTAGCTTGCCAACATTTGCCAATTAGCACTAAACACAAAGTACAGCTGAGGCTGGTGGAAATGTCGTTAGTTTCTTAGGACACTAATCAAAGTGTTGGACAAATTTATATTTTGACCTGATGATGGCGCTAGATCAAAAGTAAGGGGATCACAAAAGTTGTTCAAATAAATTCTTGGACATGAGTGTCTGAACCAAATTTCACGGCAATCAGTTGTTGAGACATTTCGCTTTAAACCACAAATATCAACCAGCTGGTCGCGCTAGAAAGCAGGGGAATAGCAAAGACATTTTCTTTCATTATGGGATGGTGATGGCACAGTAGATATGACACATACCTTTGGCGTGAGAGACCCAGGTTCAAGTCCCCACTGTGACACATCCACCAATGTGTCCCTGAGCAAGACACTTAACCCCTAGTTAGTCCAGATGTGAGACCTCTTGACATATATTTTAAGTTGATTTGGATAAAAGCGTCAGCTAAATGAATAAAAATGTGAATGATCAACATGGGCACTGTACTCAATCCTTTCGGACCTATTTTAAAATGTTTTCTTTAGGGCAGAACAACTGAGAGACAGGCTAACAATTGTTAGGTTTGGTATTTTCATGAGATTTGTTGACAACAGGAAAAATAAAGAATATCGCCGGACTTGTCCATAGAGTATAAACATTAATCACCTTCAACCTCAAAACCAAATACCATCCACAAAAAACAGATAGTGTGGGGAAAACGCAGCTTTTGATGTTTCCCTGCTTTCATTTCCAGCAGCTTTTGCTGTGGCCACACTCCTCTCTGACGACTCATTAAGATGCACAGTAGAGAACAAAGAGCAGCAGTAGGCTCTGTAGACAAATACTGTGGCCCTTAGGTGAATCACTGTTGATGAGTATATGGTGCTGCTCATTGGCTCAGTTCTGGGGCCAGCCTGTTGTCTTTGCTGTAGCCAAAGGCTGAGGTGTGTGTGTGTTACCAAACAGTTGGTGTGTTTGGGAATTGGGTGATGATTTCTCAAGTGTCTCAAAGCAAACATCTATGCAAAGCGTTGTCCAAGCGATGCAGCTGCAATCAAACCTACTCCAATCATTTGCTTAAAAGCCATACTGTGTAAACTTTACTATGTGTGTTTGTTATGTATACACATGACCACAAATCAGCGAGGGTGTGACTAAACAGAAAAAGTGGCCAAAAACCCCCTCACCTTGGTCACAATGTGTACTTTTACTTTGTTGGACTACTCAGTAAATATAAAAGCTTGTTTTGAATGCAATCACTTGGGAACTGAGTCTCTGTGCCGCTCTATAGGTTTTGCTGGTGTTTCATGTTGTTTGTATGATGACAAGAACATGTGTGTTGCTGCTTCCCTCCACAGTTAATTAGTCTACATACTGTAGAAAATAAGAAAAAGAAGAGCAGGAAGAATAAGGGCGTACTCACACTAGGCGATCCGTACCGGGCCCAAGCACGTTTAACCCCAAAGTCGGATTCGTTTGACCAGTGTGATCACTCCGGGCCAAGCTGGACTCCAGCACGGTGCGCTTAGAAGTGTGATCGCTAACCCTGCCCGAGCACAGAACTCGGACATAAATGACACTGTGCCATGCGAGAGAGCGTGCTTTTTTCCCCCCACAGAATGACAGCCTGTGGCGCCAGGTGGGGGGGCTTGCTAACTTCGACAACCCAGCTGTGATCTAACGTTGAGCTAACATTGTTATCCTTATTAGCTAAGCTCTTTACATGCTTGCTAATAACTTTTTTAAGGTGGATCTCCACACTGACAGCTTTATGTTGTGCGCAGTGGTGTTCATGAGAGAGAGCGAGTGAGATGAGCGAATATGTGCTCTGCAACCAAATACGATTTTAAACAGGCCTAGTAAAAAAAAATAAAAATCAAAAATCAATATGTGGCAGACGGCGTTGGTACTGTGGCGGGCTGCCACAAATAAATCAATGTATGGGAAACACCGGAGTGATGACGTAAATGTGCTCCAGCTCGGATCGTTAGAGGCACTGTGAGCGCAGACCAGCGGGGGAGTGGGGAGGGGGGACAGTCGTGCTCGGGCATGGTAAAAGGCAACGGGTCTAGTGTGAGTACACCCTAAGAGAGAGAAAACGGGAGATGTGTGTTTACTCTTTGAAATTCAATAATTAATGCTTAACTTTCCATCACAAATCTGTTTCCAGCATCACAGTCAGAAGGAAGGGAGAGGGTGATAAAAGATAAAAGAAAGATACCTCTGTTCTCTGGGGCCCCTGTCTTTGATCCATTAAACAACCGCCAGAGTTAAAAGATGTAATGCATTTATGTGGAGGAGACATTCAGCACACATAAACTCAGCGGTTAAGCACAGCGACCTATAAAGCTCTTCCTTTTCTATAAAATGTGCTCCACTGTCGCTCTTTGATGGTTCAAACTATTTCTATTCTACTGACTGATCGCTGTGTGAGCCACTCATGGCTCCGATCCAACTGTAGCTCCAAGCAAGAGTG